ACTACTACTACTACTTCTGCTATTATTGTTATGACTTGGTACCATTGACTCCTTGTACTCAGTAGGCAGACCCGAGGATCAGTCAGACCTTTGCGGAACCCTTGGTGCATCCTGCGGTTAGCGTTTAGGATTAGGGTACTCCGCAGAGCCTAAGATGTAAAACTCAACGCACACAAATCACTGAAAGCCTGAAGAGCATAAGCCCTAAACCTTGAAGCCCTAANNATCTGGGCTCTTGCGTGTCCGCCAGTAAACCCTCAATCAAGAAAACCTTAAGCCCTGAGGCCCGCCCTGAGGCCCTAAACCTTAAACCGTACACCAAGTCCTTCAGCTGGCCCTTTTTTACCTGGCAGCTGAGAGTGAGCTCGCTGGAAACTATAAGCTTAGGAGTTCAGATAGTTTTGAGGGTTTATGGCTTAGGGTTTAGGCGGATTTGGCGCTTACGTAACTGTTGAGGGTTTATGGCTCCTGGTTTTTGGGTTCAGGGTTTATAGGATGCTAGGGTATTCCAAAATAAATTGATGCATGACGGTCCCACAGGGGAATTCCTAATGGTCTGAAACCTGTTTTGCAGCTGAACAGGGGTTTCCCCAGATCAGGGGTACCTTTACCCATCATAAGGACTAACGTCTTTTGGGGTCAATGCCGGGGTCCCCCTATGTAGGGAAGTTACCACTGGAAAGTGGGGTGGTCCTGATACTCGGCGCTCCCTCTTTTGGGTTCGATGAAAGTGGATTTGAGATAGGGCTTTGGGGTAGTTTAGGATTTCGAGTGATTTGCAGCCGAATTCTCATAGGAAGATTACAATAGAAAAATTGCGTTCCACAATATGACATTCTCAGGGCGGAGCCCAACACGAGATTCCCGCCTGTAATGTAGAAGATTTTCTGCAATGCGTCACCCAGTCAATGGCAATACCCTCAGTCAGTACTTTAACCCTCCAGATGCTGTGGAGCCCCTCATTGCCACAGTACGCCACCCAAATACCACTGAGTAGCAGTTGCTGACGCGATGCAATCTAGCAACAAGTATGCCACGACGAGGCAAGAAATTCATTTTCTTGAAGGCCGCGATCTTGCCTGCGGTGTTTCTTGGAAGCCGCAGAGCTTCCCCATGGCCCTTGGACCCTCCAACTCGTCCTCCGTAAACTACCAGCACTACATGCATTCAGAGCTGCCAGGATGTCGCAAAGGTTGTGGGCCAATTCCTGAGCCGCGCAGGCAGCACAACTGATGGAGATAAGTTGCATGGACTTTCCCTTTCAAGCTGGTGGTGATTACATAGTCTCGGATGCTGATCATCATCTGCTAACGCTTCTACTTTATTAGGGCCGCGCATGTGAAACGAAGAAGAACACTGACTAACAACCCGCAGAAAGTCAAAGCAAAACTGCTGAACAGCACAGATTCCCCACAGTTCCAGGACGACTCATAGCCAGCCATGACCTGGAGCTGAGGTCATAGGGGATATATTGACCTGCCGACCTTGAAAGGCGTGTTGGAT